GGCTTCTCAGGGCCAGCTAAAGCTCAGTAGGCTAAGTGCCTGCTTTGGCAAAGGGAAGGGACCAGGGTTTTAATCCCTGGTCCTGCATGCTGCCAGCCCCGTCCCCATGGCCTGCTGACCATGCAACCGAGTCCGGACATGGTGCACACCTGTGATCCCAGCACTGGGGAAACTGAAAACAGGAGTATCACTATGAGTCTGAGCTGCACTGTGATATCATGTACCAAATACATAAAAAAGGAAAAAAAAAGAAAACTGGCTTCTCAATGGAAATGGGAAGAAGCAAGGAATATGTTCTTCCTTAGATCTTTGACGGAGTGCAAACACCAATTTCAGCCTGGTGATATTAATATTGGATGTCTGGCTCCTAGAACTGGAGACTATGTTTTTGTTATGTTAAGCTATCAAGTTTGTGTAATTGTCACAGCAACCACAGGAAACTAATACAGTAGGTTAAGCATGTACGAAAGTATGAAGCTATGAAGAGAAAACACTACACTCTTCAGAGAAGAACACAAAATTTGGCTCCATAATGCTCCATAACGGAATAAAAGAGAACAGACTACACCTGAGCCTTTTGCTTATGACAGAAGAAAAAAAGTTCAGCAGAAAATTTATGGGTGGTATTGAAAGCTATATTTAATAACCCTGTTAGGGGTTTCTACATAATTTCTAAGAGTTTGTTTTTTTTTCCTAAGAGTATTTTGAGCACAACTTAAGTTGTGAAACAGGCTATGTGTTATAAAGAACCTTGACATACCAGCTTAATAAAAGTTTGCTAGCACAGCTCAGAGGGAGAGCACTTGTTGAATATATGAGAAGCCATGGGTTTGGGTTTGGGTTTGGGTTAAATCCCCAATACCACAAGAAGAAAAAAGATGAAAAGAAAGAACATCTCTAGGAAAATAAAATGTAGCTAAAATCCTTCAGTACAAGTTCTTTACTTTCCCTATACAAGACTCATCACAACCAAATTAATTTCAAAGATAAAAAAAGTTTTTAAAGTGCTAGAAAAAGGTTTATATATTATGAGGTTCTGCAGAACAAAAGGGACTACATTTTTGCAGGTGGAGCTTGGCTCCAGCCCCGTTTACATCTAGTAGTGTCTTGGAAGACTATTCTAGGAAGACTATTCTAGGAAGTTTTTTTGCTTAAACAGCAAAGAGTCGGATGACTGTAGGGGTTGGTTAAGTTCATCAAGTTAAGAAAGCCTAAGAAAGCGAATATTCTCCACGAATACTAGGTAGTCTGAAACAAACTGTTGTCAACAATCAAATCAGGGAATAGACCCAGAGCGCAGGCTCCACGTGTGAGTGAGATGACCCGGGGCCCACGGATCCTGTATAGATCCAGAGCGCAGGCCCAGTGTGTGAATGAGATTGCCTGGGGCCCACTGGATCCTGAATAGACCCAGAACCCTGGCCCAGCGAGTGAGTGAGACGACCCAGGGCCTGTGGATCCTCATTCGACCCAGGCTGCAGGCCCAGCATAGAACCCTTCAGCAGAACTCCCTGCAAAGAGGCTAGAGGCAAGACCCACCCAGCTGATTCAGGAGCAGAATATCTTGTCAGAGTGATACAAAGGGTTCAACTCCAACAGCTGCAGCAGGAAGAAGTGGAGCACAGTAGCCAGACCGCAGCCAGATCCAAGCAACACTCACCTGGAGGAATCTGAACTTCATAGATCTGGACCTGGTGCTAATAACTCTATCTAAGCTCTACACCAAAGGTCAGAGACAGTGGTATACAAAATGACAAAGAGAAGGAACAAAATGCAGTCTCAGGTCCTGAGTCCACCCAGTACAAATGAAGAAGACACTAGCATAGAAGAAACTGGAAATCATACCCCTGAAATCTCTGAAATAACAGCGTTGAAAGTAAAGAAACAACTGCAGAAAGGTATAGAAGAAATCAGATCAGAAATAATTTCTGAACTAAAAGATGTAGTGATAACTGTAATCAAAGAAGTACTGGGGCCGGGGAGATGGCTCAGTAGAATAAGCACTTCCCTGTCAAGCGCAAGGTTCTGAGTTTAATTCTCGGTTCCTCAAAAAAAAAAAAAAAAAAAAAGTACTAAGTGCTTCTAAAGAATACACTGATTAGGGGCTGGCGAGATGGTTCAGTGGTCTAAAGCACCTACTTGAAACAAGCTTGGCAAAGCACAGGGACCTCGGTTCGATCCCCCGCACCACATGCCAGCCAGCCCCACCCCCTGGTGGGCTGAGCTGGCCACACACACACACACACAGACACACACATAAATAAATGAATAAAAAAAATTAAAAAAAACAATAGTATGCAGGAAAAAATAATTCAATACCTGAAAGACGATGCAAAGATGAACAATGTGAGACTAATAGGCATCAGTGAGAAGGAAGGAGTCAATACAAATGATATAAAAAGAATATGGGCAGAATAGCAGAAAACTTCCCAAATATGGGGAAACTATCTGACATTCAGTTAACCAAAGCATAAAGAATTCCAAATAACTTCAACCCAATGAAAACCACACCCAGACATATAATAATCAAGATCCCAGAAATTCAGCACAGGAACAGTATACTAAAAGCCGCTAAAGAAAAGAAACAGATCACATTTAAAGGAAAACCCATCAGAATAATGGCAGATTTCTCTTCACAAACCATCAAGTCAAGAAGAGCAAGGAGCAAAGTACTTCAAGTCTTGCAAGAAAACAAATTCCAACCCATACTGATACACCCTGCAAAACTCTCTTTCAAGTATAATGGAGAAGTGAAATACTTCCATGGCAAAGAACAACTAAAGAATTTCATGATGACAAAGCCCAGCCTACACAGACTACTAAATGATGTTCTAGAGAGGGAGCAAAATGATCACAGTCCCATGAATGAAAATGGAAAGAACCCACCAAATAGGGCAAACAAACACAGGAAACAAACACAGGAGAATAAGAAGTATACAGTAATAGTCTTTCAGTTATTCTTTTGTGTTCAGCAGCAAAATATTTCCATCTGCACACTCTACAAATGGATTTCTCTTCCACTCTCTGGGTTATGATTCCATCTGAGTCTACAGAGTGGATTTCACAGAAATAGCTGTCCCACAAGTGACACCTGGCCACCAGTAACTGTCATGGTCATTATGCGTGTCCACAACACACTAGGACTTTGTGCAATATCCTATCCTCAAACTGTTAGAAGTGCTGGTCATTTATTTGCCATTCCAGTATTCATCTTATGTTTTACTCTTAGTACTTCTTTGCTATCATGAAAAGTTTTTCTTAGTTCAATTGTTTGTTCTTTTAAAAATAATTTTACTGAGAAACAAACATCAATGAGACGGTTTCACAACTGATTACTAGCACATTTTCAATAATTAATACATTGCACATTGTTGTCTTAGTGGTTATTTATTGTACAAGATGCAGACATGATATCCTGTCTCAAACACTATTATAACAAACCTCTGTATTCATTGAATTGAGAGTGGAGCTGTGTATCTATCCTAACTACTTTGAATATACAGATACAAAAGGGTTGTTCATTTCTGTCCCACTTTTTTGGTTAGTTTTGTCAGAGAAGGCATTCCGTTGTCATTTAAATATTGTAGATGCTTGAATTCACCAGAATCCTCCAATAGTGTCCAGTATTCGACAATAGTAGTGGGTTTTCCATACGACTGGCAATGTCAGAAATTGTTGACTTGGGGGCCGGGGAGATGGCCCAGTGGAATAAGCGCTTCCCTGGAAAGCACAAGGACCTGAGTTCAATCCCCAGTTCCACAAGTTCAATTGTTTTGAAATATTTAATTTTTAATTAATTAGTATTTAATTTCCTGAACATTGCTTAATCTTACTTTTTGTTCTAAGATTTATACTATATCTTTGATTTACAATTTATTTAAAAGACATCATATGATATGTTCTCCTAGTATTAGAAACTTTATAAAGTATATTTCCATTTTCTGTTGACTTAAAAAGATTATGAATAAAAAAAAATCAACCAGGCTGTCAAATTGTTTCTCTTTAAATCCTGTAGCTTTCTGAACAGCCAATTTGTTGAACTGTCAAATCTTTTTCAACTGTCTTATTTTTTAGGGTACGTCACTTATACATATAGAAAGCATAAATCCTACTTCAGTTTTCTAGTCCTGAATTCCCACAGAACTCAAACAGCTTCTTGCTCTTCCCGTTGGTATGCTCAAGTATTTACCATTACAGACAGGCTTCCAATCCAAGCCTTGACCTTATCGGTGGGCCTGGCCACAGCTCCTTTTCCAAGTCTCTGTGGGTCCCTCAGCGTCGCTGGGCACAAGCCCACCCGGAAACGAGCTATCCGACCCACGACCCTCACTTTGGAGGGCTGCAGCGTGCATGCGGTGGGAATTTTGTGAAGAGACCAGCTAATGTATGCAAAGCTTTCAGTGTAATTTCTAGCACTAAGAATGCCCTAAATGAAAGTACATTTTAACTAATACAAAGCGCCACCATAATGGGAAATAGTTCAGATCCTTTTTACTTTTCTAAACAAATGGTCAAACCTTTTTTTCTTTGAGGCTGAAGGCTTAACCCAGGGTCAAACAGCATGCATTCTACCACTGAGCTACAACTCTGGGTTCCTAAATTTAATTTTGTTGTTTAAAAAATAAACGGGGAAATGTGGAGAACAAAATATGACTTCACTTAGTTTTACCTGCGGGGTATTCGACTGAGCGAGAAGGGAGAGGACAAACACCACCTTTCTCTTTGGTTCATATTCCCTGCATCAGGAGGTTGACTCTGAAACATGAGACTGTCGGAAACTAAACGACGCTGAGCCAGCGGACGCCAGTTCCACCAGCCCGGAGGTCACTGGGCCAAGGACCAGCACATCCGCCAGCCCGGAGGTTACTTTCTTTCTGGCCCTAAAATCACCATGAAGGTATTGGCCAAATTCCTCTGAAGCTCAGGGTCGCCCGGGAGACCTATAAGCGCCGCTGTTTCAGCGACGTCATCACTGATCGCCGGGGTCAAAGGGAATTTGGGGCGGAGTTTCCCCCCACGGCCTTATAGTCGGCTCCCATGATCCTCTCCTTCTTTTCGCCATCTTCCGCTTTGACTGCCGGCAGCCGCCATGAAGTAAGGCGTTGTTTTGCCTCTCAATCTGTTTCCATCCTTGCGCACAGAACCTCTGCGGTGTCTTGGACGTGGTTTTTATTTGCTTCTGTGATGGATTTTTACTTTGCCTTACAGGGTTGAGCTGTGCAGCTTCAGCGGGTACAAGATCTACCCGGGACACGGGAGGCGCTACGCCAGGACCGACGGGAAGGTAAAAGGGTCGTTTCTGGAATTCGTCGCACCTCCGTGAGCTCTGGAAACGAAAGCCCTCTCTAATTTGGTCTAGGCGAGTTAGTGATCCATCACTGTTTGTTCTCGAAAAGGCCTCTGGGACCCATCAGGGTCGGAAAGAAAACTTAACATGAACGATTGAGCCATAATCTAGTACGTCAGATAGGGAATGATTTATGTAACTTAGGAGCCCTGATGTAGAGGAATAATTGTGAGACCGAGGCGGGCTCCCGGTCCTTTTGGATTTTCAGGAGGCGTCAGAGTAGTGTTCTTGATTTGACACTACCCTGCCATTCATTTTGGGTTGACACCGGTTCTTGTTTTTAAAGTCTTTGGTCTCTGCTGCGATTTCATAAAAGAAGTGGATACAACTTGAATAGTAATGTTCTAGGAATTTTAAGGTAAGCTGCTTTTATAGTTGAATTTTGAAATTTTTCATACCAGGTCTTCCAGTTTCTGAATGCAAAATGCGAGTCTGCATTCCTTTCCAAGAGAAATCCTCGGCAAATAAACTGGACTGTCCTCTACAGAAGAAAACACAAAAAGGGACAGTCGGTGAGTGATGCACTGGTGTTTTGACGCCATTTCAAGAAATTGAAGCTCATTGATGATCACTAGTTTCTGCTTTATAAAATAGTAACTGAGACCGTTTGTGAATGATCTCTTTAGAAGTTGTAAAACAAAAAAGTGAAGTGAAAGAATATGAGAAGTGTCATTCCCCTTGACATTTTGGGCTCGAAGTGAATTGAAATTTGAAAGTAGCCCTTTGTAGAGTCAAATGCTGTAATATTTTAATTTGAATTAGCATCTTTGAGGAGTTTAGTGTTCTGGTGAGTGCAAATTGAATCTTTGTTGTGGCCTTTGATTTTTATTATTACTGGATTAGCTCAAACAGACATCATTGGAGTTTTCTGACTAACATAATAGTACTAGTTCATTCCAAGGGTGCCTGTTTTTGAGGGCTGGATGATTTGTGAGGATGTTTGGAGTATAGCAGTAGAACTAGGTGTCCTGGAGAATTGGAATATTTAGGCTTACTTAGTAAGCATCCCTACTTTGACTTAAGTGAATCTGGAGACTTCTAGGTGCTTTTTGTTGAAAAGTGGGATATTAACAGGTTTTGGTGGAAAATGGTCACCCCTATACATGGCTGCATGAAAAGTGGCGCAGCATGGAAAAATAAAGTCTTTTAACAAAATACTGATACTTAGCAGCATTGTTCACATAAACCTAAAGGGGAGGAACCTAAATGGCCATGAGTGAGTGGACAAAATGTACAGAATGAATGTGATCTTTAATGCTTGGACAGTAAGTGTAGTTTGATGAGGGGACACAGTTTGTTACCTATCCTGAAGGTAGTTTTGTGTAATAGTGTGTCTGCATTTTGACAAGAAGTCAGGTGTGGAGTTTTCTGCTTTTATCAGTTGCTGAACAGTTGTGTTTTGGAATAGGGTACTCAGTGTATACATACAATGGGTAGTAATTCATTCTTTCAAAATTGGCCACCTGCCAACAATAGAAGCTTGATACTCTGCTAAATGGAAATAAGTCAGATAGAAATATGATCCCATTTTTATAAGGTAGTAGAATTTTCAAATTAATAAAGACTCAATGGGGTGTTGCTGTTTAAAGGAGACAGTAAAGTATCTTGAATGATTCTCTTCTTTTTTAACCCATTGAGTTAAATTAGCTAAGTTAGGTGGACTGGGGAATATAGCTCTGGCATAAGCAGGTTCCTGGCAAGTGCAAGGTCCCCAGTTTAATCCCTGGTGGTGGTGGTGGGGGGAATCTTGATAATTAGGCTCTTAAATATGTAAACCACTACTAACCCCCCCCCCCTTTTGGTGAAACCAGGGATTGAACTCAAGCCCTTGTGCTTGTTGCGCTTGCGCTTATTCTACTGAGCCATCTCCCTGCCCCCCCCCCTTTTTTTTTTTTTTTGCCTGCTCAGTTGGCCCTGAGGGCGGGGCTGGCGAGGCATATAGTGCTGGGGATTGAACCATTGTCCCCTGCACTTGCGTAAACTTTAGACTGCTGGGACCTAAAATCACTTTTGTGTATTGCTAGGGATTGAATCCAGGGTCTTGTGCTTGGTACACAAGCTCTGTACTGTTGAGTTACATCCCTTGCCCTAAAACCACATTTTGGTCCTAGATTAACCCTAGGACCTTCACAGCAAGCTATGTTCTAAGCCTGCTTCAGACAAGGTCTTAGGAAGTTGCCTATGATGGTTGAAACTTGGGATCTTTCTGTCCAAGGTTCTCAAGGTGCTAGGATTACACCACTTTTGTGAAATTAACAGTGCTTTTGATAGTTCAACTTTTAATTCTTACAAATAGTAGAAAGGGGGCTGGGGAGAGAGCTCAGTTGAATAAGCACTTGCCTGGCAAGTGCAAGGGCCTGAGTTCAATCCCCGGCTCTGCAAAAAAAAAAATAGAAAGGCCAAGATTGTTAATAGATGGTTTTAAAAGTTAAGTGGAAAACTTTAGCATGCTTTATTTCAAGTAATTTTATTGATTGATTGTTTGATTGATTGATTGTGTGTGTGTGTGTGTGTGTGTGTGTGGCCAGCTCAGCCCACCTAGGGGAGGGGCTGGCTGGCATGTGGTGCTGGGGGATTGAACCGCAGTACTTCTGTTTTGCTAAGCTTGTTCTAAGTAGGTGCTTTAGACCACTGAGCCATCTCACCAGCCCTATTTCAAGTAATTAATATTGATTTTTTTAATTGAATATGAACCTTGAGAACTTTCTCCTTCCAAATTCCTGAAGCAAGGGTAGTAAGTATTTTTCTCATATTTTTGCTGTAGGAAGAAATTCAAAAGAAAAGAACAAGACGAGCAGTCAAATTTCAGAGGGCCATCACTGGTGCATCTCTTGCTGACATAATGGCCAAGAGGAATCAGAAACCAGAAGTTAGAAAGGCCCAAAGAGAACAAGCTATCAGGTAAAGAATGCTTTACTATAAAAACATTTCAGTTACTCAGGTGAGTTTTTAGGTTGCTTAGCTTTATAGATAAAGGAACCTAATCTGACATTTTGGAATTTTCAGTCATCAGGCTTCATGATACAAAAATTTACAAATGGTTTTGTTAAAATTCTGTGTGCAGTTAAAAATATTGTGTACTCTTTATGTTAAGCTGACCTGAATGATGAAATTTTTAGCAAACTCCTTGGATTTTTGATATTGTGTACAAATCAAAGAAATGTAATGGTTGTTTATCTAGAACTCTGGCTTCTTGTTAATGAGTTGTACCTACAAGGAGTAAAATACTTTATCCTTAAAGTTATTTTTAATTCCAGGGCTGCCAAGGAAGCAAAAAAGGCTAAGCAAGCATCTAAAAAGACTGCCATGGCTGCTGCTAAGGTAATTGTGGGGAGGTTTGGGGATTTTTGGCTTGGTTTTGATTTTTTAATAAAATTTTATTAATATATATATTTTAACAACTTACATTTAATCCAAACGGTAGTATAGTTTCAACCAACAAATTCAATGCAATGTTCTGTTAGAAATAGCCATAGCTGATTTATATGTGAATGGTTAAGATCTCTGAAGAAGTCTCTAGGCCAGGAGCAAGTGAGATCAATGTTAGAGATCTTTCTTTTTTTTTTGGCGGAACCGGGGATTGAACTCAGGACCTTGTGCTTGCCAGGGAAGCGCTTATTCCATTGAGCCATCTCCCCGGCCCCCTAGAGATCTTATTTTTTAAGGATTTTGTGTCATAGGACCTCATCTTGTAGTCTAGGTTCATTTTGAACCCTGTTCCTTCTGCCTCAGCCTGTCAAGCACTGGGATCACAGACATGCACCACCTTGCTCAATTTTTAGCAATTTGAGAGTTAGAAAAGTTTTGGTGACAGACTAGTGTTTGCCTTGACTTTCTCAGTGTTTATTTATTGAGATCGCCTCCTTATGTAGTTCATGAAGCCTTGAATTCACTGTGTAGCCCAGGCTGTCCTCAGACTTGTGATCTTCCTGCCTCAGCATTCCAAGGCTGGTGTGGACCAGCAACTCTGGCTTTCTCAGTGTGAACATAGTAAAATTTAAAGCTGCTAACCTTGATCCTATGAAAAAGCTATTATTTTGTTGGGGTATCATTCGCCCAAGCTTTTCATATGAAAAGCTTGATAATAGGAATGTAGTTAATGCAGCTTAGTATGTAAACAATCAGGACAAAAAAGTGTTAATGTTTCATGGGGTGGTATTTTATAATATCCTGTTACCTTTTCACAGGCTCCCACAAAGGCAGCACCTAAGCAGAAGATTGTGAAGCCTGTGAAAGTTTCTGCTCCACGAGTTGGTGGAAAACGCTAAATTGGCAGATCAGATTTTCAAATAAAGATCTGTAATTCTAATTTGTGCTGGATTTTTACAATGTTGGGTCTATGTGGTAATAGATGAACTATCAAATTAAAAATTTAAGACAAGAAAAAAGAA